GATTGTGTGCAGATGAGTTTATAAACACACACACCTTTTACACACTAAAACAGTTGTCTGTGTGTTCATATATATATTATACTTGGTATAGGGGTCCAACTTTATAAGGAATTCACATGCCATTGGGCAAGTTGACACCCCAGAGCAGACTAAAACTGTTTTCTCATTGATTCTATCTCTTATATATATATATATATATATAAAATTCTTAGAAATCCATTATAAAAATAATATATCCAAGTTGGGTTATTGGAATGTTATTCAAAGTTGCTGATAATTAAAATATATTTTTTTTCTAAATGAAATAAGACATATGAAAAAATAAGGCCTGAAATAATGGATATTTAAGGATTCTTTATTCATTATTATAATATTATCTGTTTTCATTAAATGAGATTTTGATTCATATCCTCCTTGGAATCACCCCTACTAAATATCATTGGTTTATATATATATATATATATATATATATATATATATATATATATATATTTATATAAAATTATATATTTAAAATTTAAAATATGTTTTTTTTTTCCTGGGAACAGTTCTAACCATGTTTCAAAAATGGAAGCTAAAAGTTCACGAATTTAATTTTGCAATTAAATAAACCAGCAACATTTTCCATTTAAAAAAAAAAAAAATTTAAAAATTTTATGGCAGTTTTCATTATTTTTTGAAATTTACAAAAGCACTATTTTTAAAATAAAAATATCTATAAGAATACATATATTATATAACATTACTGTTCTTTATTTTTATATATATATATATATATATATATATATATATATAACACACATGATTTTATATAATTATATATATATATATGATGTTATATATATAGAGGGCTTATATGTTCAACTTATATTAAAAAAATTAATTCTTGAACATATTTTTATTATAGAACATTTTTATTTTTAAATAAATACTTTTTTGATTTTAGTAAAACAATATTTTAAAAAGCCGAGCATAGCAATGTCTTTAAAAAGCTATTAATTATATTGATAAAAAATAACAATTATATAAAAAAAAAAGTTATCTCCGTTTAGATAAAAAAACATGGAAAAAGTTTGAGCTTTCCTTTAACAGTGAATTTTGCATGCTTTTAAGTGTATGTTTGACAAAAATGTTGTTCTGCATTTAATAATCTTTCATAGGGAGAAAACTTGAAAAGAAAGAAATAATTAAAAATTCTAGAGTGAAAAAATACCCAGATTTTTTTAATGTCTGTTTCTGAAATGTGCATTCTAATAAGTAAATTTGTTATTTTTTTAAAATATTTAGTTGTGGTAGATTTAAATAATGATTTAGTCATGAGCTAGTATAAATTATATATATATATATATATACATACATATGTGTTTTTGTTGTTACATATTTGGGAGAATCCTGTTGGTTTTATTTTTGGTCTATTCAGGTTCTTTATCATATGAAATTTATTTAATGTCATAATTTTTAAGGTTCTTAGGTTTAATTTTCTAAAACCTATTTTCTTCAAACAAATAATTTTTAGGTCTGGTTTGAGATGTAGTATTTGCCAGTATTTCGATTTCTGAGATAGTGTTGAAAGTGTTTTGGAATGGATGCGTCTTATTTTTTTTTTAATTTTTTTTAGGCTGTCTTTCTTTTTTTTTTTTTTATTTGTCACCTGATTAAATTTATTTATATTTAAACACGAAACTCAAGTCTATGATCATGATTTCTAATATGTTTACTTAGTTCTTCATTGTTAAAACATATCCCATTTGAGATGTTTTGAATAGGGAATATTCTCCTATAGGTGTATATATATAGACAAAGTGTAGATAGGAATGGGTGTTGGTGATTTTAAATTTTAGTGTTTGTAGTTTTCTGTTTTTATTGATGTAGATGCAGGTGTCTAAGTGTTGAAACTGATCTTGTTGATTTTCATGGTTGAATTAAAATATTCATGTTATAATTTTCGAATCAGGAATTAGTGTTTTCTCCTATGCCTGTGTTGTATGAAGAAGATTTTAAGAATATATTTTGCATAGAATATGAATTTGTTACCAGTGAAGGGATATATATGGGTATATCAAATTTTCCTATGAAAATTATATATATATATGGATATATATATATTAATGTATATTATTGACACATTCTCTTACTTGTAGGTTTTGTTTTCCATTGAAATTGAAAGTATTCAATGTAAGAATATATATATATATATATATATATATATATATATATATACTATTTGAGGTATCTGGTGTTTCTTTTACAACATATTCTGTACAATATATATATATATATATATATAAATATCTGTTTTCATGCATCACCTGTTGTATGCAGCTATTCCCCACCTCATCTTTTTTGGACATGTCCTTTGAAGTGTTTGATTGTTCAAATGGAGAACCGTTTGATAAAACCTTTAGATTGTGATTGTTTCTCAGGGTTAAACTGTTTCAATGTTTTAGATATTCACTAAATTTCCTATGGCCATAATAACTTTAATATACTATGCCATTGTTCACAAATCTAATAATCAAACAAAAGCAGGGATGAAGAAATGCGCACCTGAGCTAGCGCCCGCCCTCTCTAAACTGTATAATTACTGCCTCAAGGAATCCTGTTTTCCTGACTGAAGGAAATCCTCATCCATTGTTCCTGTCTTTAAGAACTCTGGAGACCCCTCTGACCCCTCTAATTACCGTCCTATTAGTCTCCTACCCCTCTTCAGCAAAGTCTTTGAAGCCCTAATCAATGCCGAAGTGGTTAACCACCTAACATCCCATGATCTGCTCTTAGACAAGCAATATGGTTTCCGCTACGTCCAATCTACAGCTGATGTGCTTACAGCCATCACTGAAACCGTCTACCAAGCCCTTCAAAATAACGGTGAGGCTCGTGCCATGGCCCTAGACATCTCCAAAGTGTTTGATAGGGTTTGGCATGCCGGCCTTCTTTGTAAGCTCCAGGGTTATGGTATTACTGGTCGACTGTTCGATCTAATACAATCATTCCGTTCAAACCGAGAATTGAAGGTCGTTCTCAACAGATTCTCCTCCAGTTCCTATCCCACGAACGCAGGTGTTCCCCAAGGCTCCATCCTTGGCCCCATTCTTTTCCTTATTTTCATCAACGACCTTCCTGATGCCATAGATTCCCAAGTTGGCATCTACGCGGACGACACTACAATTTACTCCTGCCTCAAAAACAAATCTAGTGTCGGCGACAAAACTAACCTGGCCATGCGTCTTGAAATGGACCTCCAATCGGTTGTTAACTGGGGCAAGAATTGGCTGGTCAACTTTAATGCCTCAAATGAAAAACTACTCTCCATTAACCACCACAGAGATCCTTCCTGCCCCCCATTAAAATGTCTGATAGTCAACTTCCTGAGAGCAACTCCCTGCGTCTGCTCGGTCTCACGTTGACTGCTGACCTGAGATGGAACAAATACATTGAGTCAATTGCTTCTTCCACCGCGAGGAAAGTTGGCTCTCTGTGCCGCGCCAGGAAATTTTTCTTGAATCGATACTTCAAATATACAAATCAACCATTCGCCCTTGCATGGAGTATTGCTGCCATATATGGTCTGGGGCACCTTCTGTTTTTACCTCGGAGTTCTTGACAAGATCCAGAGACGGATATGTAATATAATTGGCCCTGATCTGGCATCTCGTCTACAGTCACTCTCTCACAGACGCGCCGTCGCCTCTCTCTGTCTTTTCTACAAATACTTTCATGGTAATTGCTCCGATGAGCTGCTTTCACTGGTTCCCAGACTCCATGAATTCAAATGTAATGTCAGGCTGGCATCCAGTTACCTTGATTACACTGTAGAAACTTTTCCTCATCCTTTCTTCTTCACTCCAATATCTACTCTTGCTCCAAATCGCCTGTGGAACCCTGCATCCCTATTACTGTTTCCCTGAGAGCTATAATCTCCAACTAAAAAAAAAAAATGTCAATCGATGTTTCCAGTTAATGATGGGTTAATAAGAGGTCCTTCATCCTTTTCTCTATCCTATTTTAATGCTTCAAAATCCTTCTCAAACAATCTGCATCATAGTGGCTTGTTTGAATGCCAATTAGGATGGAATCATATGAAAAACTATTGGCTAAATGAAAAAAAAGCCAATTGTAAACCTAGTTTGTCACAGATGTTTGTCCACTTAACTGAAATAATCTAAACCAAACATTCATGTAAGACAAGTTGTGTGCCATATGCAATTTACATGGCAATTATGGAAAGCATCAGATGAAAAAAAAAAGATGAAAAATGGGCTTTTTGAACAGTTTTTTGTTATACTACACATACTTATTTCTTGCAAGATGGCAAATTTTTTGTGACATGTTTGAAGAAAATTGGATAAAAAAGTTTTTATTCTAAATAGTATGAAATTTTAAGTTGAAAAATTTTTTTTTTGCAATTTTTGTGTGATGCCAATTCAATCCATTAAAACTATCAAAAATTCTAACATGAGCTGATGTTTTGCTTTAAGTGCAAAGAACATCAGCTCATCCAGTAAAAATTTTGTTTGGGTGTAAATTTGCCTTGATTTTTACAAAAAGTTGTACCCACCTTCAGTTTTATTGATTTTTCTGTCATACCAGGGATGGGGTGGGGGGGCTGTAGATTGGAAAGTTTATGTGTGTAAAATTTCATCGAAATTGCTCAAGAAATGTGGACATGTATAAATAGCATACATACACACAAAGCAACACACACACAGACATCTTTTGTTTTATAGATATAGATATACAAGTAATATAAGTTTGGTAAAGATATATATATCTTGAAAATGTAGACATATGTCAACAGCAGGCAATGTAAGTTTCATAACAACTTATCATCCAGATCAGTGGAACTGTTAAAAAAAGAATTATTCAAAATTAATAACAACATTATGGCAGACATTTTTTTTTATTACACATGATCTATATTTGTCATTAACATTAGAAAAATACGATTTCTTGACCAAGTTTCGCATCTCCAATAAATAGTAAAAAATGGATCCACTCACCAGATTCAGGCACTTCATATTCGACCTCAAGAATAACGTGTTCTCCAGCATTCTTTAATAAGTTTACTATTTCTTCATGGCGTAGACCAGATGTTCGAATTCCATTCACTGACAAAATAAAATCACCGACTTCCAGGGCATCGCATCTGTTAAATGACAAAGAAATATGTGGATATATAAAACATTTGTTGAAAAATTTAATTTATAAATAAACTACTTCTAAAATATATATATATATATATATATATATATATATATACAAGCAGAATAAATTTGGTGTTGCATTTTTTGAAAAAAAAGTTTTTATAACGACTCATACAGCAAAATTTAAATCATTTGACTTAAAATATATTTGTGCCCTACAAAATTTGCCTTTAAAGGAGTATCCTTTGCCGTATTGATGTTATACATGCCTTAAGTATTTTTATCTCAAATGCTTTAATTTTTCTAAGCTCTATACTAAACATTAAATCTGTTATGAAAAAAGAACTAAACAAAATGAACACAAAACGATCAGCTTTTAAAAAAGGACTCATAACTGGAAAAACCGAATGAAAAAAAATGTTAACAACAAATACTTTTTCAGAACACCCAACCCAGTTCTGCGGAATCAGAATCAACGTTGAGTTTAATAAGCCCGAATGAGCCAATTGGAGTAAAGTGCTATGCAGATTTAAATTTTTATATAATATATATGACGAATGCATATATATATATATATTTTTTGCATGCTAACATGCTAGTTAACATTCGTGTCAGTCAGCTGTTGGCTCTCACACTGGCCAATAGAATCTTCCTGCCTATAAATGGCAGCCAGCTATGTTTCAAACTCTGGCCAGTAGAAAAAATATATATAAACTACATGAAATATGCCATAGAAGCATGAAAAAATCTATTATTTCCACTATCGATAGGAGTTGTGAAAAAAATGCAAAGTTGGTCTTGGCCTTCCTACTAACTTGGAGCATGTGCATGTAAATTTTGGTGCAAATAAAAGAAAATTATGGCCATGCATTATTAAAATACACACATTTTACCCTGCCTTTTATTTATATAATAATAATCAACTCTCCGTCGAGTATTAGACGTATGAGGGTCAAGCAGATCAGTTTCAGAAACCAACAGCCCGACACCAGCACATGAGATTTGATTATAGTGGTGAAAGAAAATTAATGCAGGACCATCCATTTTTTTTTGAAGGGACGAATACAGAGACCTGGTATATACAATAAATAAAAATTTTTTGGCATTACCCTCTGCAGGTTTTGAATTCAGAGTTGTCCTTCTCATAGACAAGTTGCCATCCAAGACTATAGAACCCAGTCTGTCCTGCTATTTTACCCATAGCTGGAGAAAGAGGAAGAGGATATTCATACCTTTCCCTAAAGGGTATTAGCACGTAAGGTGAAAGAAATGATGAGATTATACTTTGAAATTAAAATTTAATATTCCTCAATCCAATTTTGCTATCCATTACTCCACCGTGCCTCTTCTCCTTTATATATATATATATAAGATTACAGCAAATATAAAATTTATCACTTATATTTATATAACTCAGAGTTTCATAATGAACATTAATCATTCAGTCCACATGTTAGGATATGCTGTTTGCTGATTTCCTCAAAAAACTATTTTATGTTTAGTTTTTTTAAATTTTATGTTAAATATAGGTAGAATTCTTTGATTTCATTCCTTTTCTTTTTTTTTAACACACACACACACAACATATATATATATATATATATATATATATGAATATATATATATATATTTATGTTTAATTTTATGTTTTTAAATTCTTTTTTAGATACTAAAAAAATTTCAATAAATGCTCTGTTTATAACAAAAAGTATTAACATTTATTGTTTGAAATGTCAAGAATTTTCATCGAAAATATATTTTCTCCGACAGGAATTGAACCTGTAAATATATAGTAGAAGCTTTTTTTACCGATTTTGCCACAAAGGAATGTTTCATTTAGCAAGGTAAATTTTAATGTTTGCTAAGAAAACATCCTCTGTGGCAAAATCAGTAAAAGCATATCAGGCTATATGACATTTAAAATATAGGATATAGGTTTAAAAATCATTGTTGGAGGAATTGAAAAGAAATGACATTTACAATTTTGGACATTCAGGCTTGTCAAAAATGTTTTTTGTTTTTATTATAAAAAGAGCAAAAACTTAAATAAACATATCTATAAAAAAAAAATGTTTAAACAAAAAATAAATAATTGTTGGACTTTGTCCATTCAATAGTATATATATATATATATATATATATATATTTTGAACAATAAAAAAATATTAAAAAAATTAAAATCTTCAGACACATTGGTTTGTAGATTAATATTTTTTTGTTTTTTTATTATTATTTCATTTAGATTCCTCGATTCATTTAGATTATATATATATATATATTAATCAATGAAAATTTTAAAATACCATATAATAATCTTTATTACATGAAATATATAAAAACCAGAATTCAAACTTCAGATGTGTAAACCAAATATTTCGTTTGCAGGTCTGAAAGATTGATGGGTATTTTTATAGATTTTATGAAATAAAGATTATTATATTGTTGGTATTTTAATATTATATATATATATATATATATATATATATATATATATAGTAAAGGGAAAAATCCATGGGTATATAATTCAAGTGGGTCCTAGTAATATAAAAATATTAAAACTGATCCACAAAAGAGGGCTTGATGTATTTTTTTTATACAGAGCAATGTGAATGAATAATCAAAAAAATTATTTTTATCGCATGTGGGGAATAGGCTATTTCGGCAGACAATACGTGGTCATCTATCTGAAAAGATAGACAACCTCAATGTGGAATGAAGTTCATGTCCATAAAGCTAAAGGGAGTAGAAGGAAGTGATATTGGAAACTAAAGAGTCAACCTAAAATTTAACTTGCCAAAAATACCTAATACAGAGTTCACACTTTTCAATGTTTAAGTCAATGATAGGTACCAGACAGGGGTCAACGAGGGTGGTAACTATCTTAAAGGGGGAGAATGTGTATTAAATAATTTAATACTAATAATATTAACTCTATGAAGATAGATTGGGAGTATTTGGGAAAAATTTTATATATATATATCTATATATATATATATCAAATATGTGGTGCCGTTCAATTCATATTACAATGAATTGTTCATACAAAAAGTAGATTAGTAAAGTTAAAAAAAAAAATTTCCATGCCTGAGGATGGCTGAATGTACAGCTGAAAGTACTAACAGAATAAAAAAAAGACCTTATACAACTTGAAGTTATTAAAGGATCATAACATTTATTGAGTGGTTCGTGGGTTAATGTAACTTTAATAAATTTGTTTGTAAAGATCTTTTTTGCCATTTATATCATTAACTTTACTAATCTACTTTTTGTATGAATGAAAGAATTAATATATATATATATATATATATATATATATAATTCTGAAATTCTTCAACATTGGAATTAATAGAATTTAAACCTGTAACTCTATGTTCATGACAGGCAGGCAGGCATTTATCCTTAGGAGACTTTAGCAGTTACAAAAAAGCATGCCATTCATTTGAAAGGATTAATTAACCAATTAAGTAACAACAAAAATAAAAGATTTTTTTTTTGTATGTGTACCAAACATTAACTCATTTTACTTTCAAAGATTGTAGATTCTGAGACAAAAGAAATTTTACCTGTGTGCAATGCTTCCAGGCCGGAGGTTTGACACTTGTGGCCGACAGTTTTTGTCCACACCCCCTATAAACAGAGAATATTAAGACAAGTGAGAGTGAGTAGTAATAAGGTTAATATGAAACTTTCTGACATGTTTGACAACACTTTTCACTCATATTATCATTTTTAATTCCTCAAACATTTTGAGTTTTTTTTCAAAAATAAAAAAAGCTTACATTGCATTTCACTTGAAATATGTATTCCATTATAAAAGAAGGATTCCAATTTTGGTTTGAAGAATTCTTCAAGGCATTTTTGTTTTTTAAAATCACTGGACTTTCTGACCAGACAAAGGAGTGTGACAGAGAACAAATTAAATGTTTGAAAGAAGCCGCTCCGGAGAAAATGCTGCAAGCAGAAGAACCTCCCATCCCACCACCATCATCACTTATTGTGTCGTATTTGTAATATGATGATGTATACATAGCATCATAGAGATCCGTATAGAAAGTGGTATTAGTGTGCCAAGTTCAAAATCTGGCTGAGGCTGCTGTATTCAATTTCATGTAGATTCTCCTAGAAAATGTATAAACCCATCTTTTTTTCCCTCCAGATATGGGTTAAATATAAGAGTAGACCAGGCTCTCTACTCTTGGTTGGCACCCAGTCTATGAAAAGGACAACTCTAAATTCAAAACATAATTAAAATATTCATCAAACCCTTTGACAAACACTAAATATAGTAAGCTGCATAAAATATTCAATAAAAACACTTTAAAACATTAGCCGAACCAAAAGCATACTACAAATTATAAAAAGATATCACATGAAAATTACCAGTATACAATAAATCTTCTATTACCTTTCTAACTGCAGAATGAAATATGAATACCCACTAAATGATAAATGCCAACAAATTAATGTAATATACAAAACTACAGTAAGAGCGAAAGGAAATCCAGAAAAAAAACATGTATATAGTCCTAATGATTGCCAAATAACAAATATCTAGTCAGATGCTCATATTTTGTTGCATCAATCCACTTCCTTTATGAAGGAGATAAGGTCATCAACATGGATATTTTTGAGTAGGTGCCTCATAGAGCTCATGTTATAAATTTGCAATTCTTAAATAATATGCATGCACAAGCAATAAAGAGCAAGGTGACTTTTGAAGGTACTTCTAAGATTTCCTTAACATTGTGCATAAAACAGTATTCAAAACATTTTCATTATTGTAATCTATACATATTTCTAGAGAAATAATATTTTATTTAATTCAATACATTTTTATTACTTTAAACGTTATTTTTAATGGATACCTGTATTTGAGTAGATGCTTAGTTTTTATTTGAAACACTATTTTATATAGTCTACCTGCCTGCATATCTGAGAAAATTTTGCTGGAAGGAGTTTTTTTCTTTAATAATTTTTCTTGAAAGTGCAGGCTGGTAGACCAAATAAAATACTGTTTAAAATAAAGATAGTGTAAATAATGATAACTCCTCATCCCAGAAATTCAGTCAGAAGGCAACCAGGGGATAATAACAACAAAAATGAGGACAATATTCTGAATGTAAATAGTGTAAATAATAACTTCTTTTTCTTTTTACATGGCCATGAATGCTGGAAAATTTCCTCAATGATAAAGCAAAGACTTGCATCAACAGAGATGTGGTTCTACAGAAGGGTGTTGTGAATGGATGGAGTATGTGAACAATGAGGAAGTTTTAAGGCAGATGGAAACAAAAAAGACATAGTAAGAATCAGAAAGAAACTGATGAAATTTTTGAAACCTGAGGAAAGAAGACTTGGAGAATTTGACACTCAAAGGATATATTGAAATCAAAAGGCATAGAAAGAAATAATCATTCTACCTAACGTCCTTGTATAAATGGATGGTAGAACATGGAGTGAGGTAGATGATAACATGTCAAACACTGCTAATAGCTGCAAAAGATAGGAAGTTATGGAGAGCCATGATCACTAATGTCCATACAAGAAGACAGGTTCTTACCTGATATTGTTAGTCCCAAAGTGCATCCTTCTATTTTCCTTAGTTCCACCACAGTTGTACCTTTTCGATCCTCTGAAACGAAAAAAAACAAAGAAACAAAATTAGGGTAGATTAAAAAAAATTGAATTATCTACAAAGAAGTGACAAGTTTATATATATTAGAAATACTGATAAAAATGCCACTGATTTCCTATTTGAATTTTTTGATGAATCTTAATTCTTAAGTTAATGATTGAGTAAGCTCATGGCAAGTTCTATGGCAATTAAATATCCATAGAGATTCCTCTATCATATCATTAAATATTTCAGCTTAACAAAATATTGCAATAGCAATCATAAATATGAATGCTGGTTATTATTTAAAGAAGTAAGAGGGTACAAATGAAAAGATTTCAAATTGACAACTTTTTCATTTCACTGAAACAGATGTTAAGCCCATGAGTGTTATCACCTCTTCTGTCTTCCCTTCTTGCTTTCATTTTCTCATTGAAACCAAGTAGCATCGCTGATATGTCTTTTACGTCTTTCCACACAATCAAAGTGAAATAGTCCATTATAATATGACTAGAAATACCTGTGAAGACATCACGTATTTCCTTTTCGAATTTTCTGATAAATCTTAATTCTTAAGTTAATGATTAAGTTCTACAATAATAAAATATCTGTAGACATTCACCTATCACATTGTTAAATATTTGAAAACAAAATATTGCAGTAATTATAATAATATGAATGCTGGTTGTTATTTTAAAAAATAAGAAAATACAAATGAAAAGATATGACAACTTTTTCCATTTCACTGAGATGGTCATTAAACACATCTATCGTCCCTTCTTTCTTTCTTTCTTTCTTTCTTTATTTCTTGCCTTCTTTATTTCTTGCCTTTTTTCTTTCTTTCTTTATTTCTTGCCTTCTTTCTTTATTTATTTCTTCCCTTCTTTCTTTCCTTCCTTCTTTCTTTCTTTCAAAAGTCTTATTAAGCAAAATGGGCCCCTAACCAGGAATCAAACCTGTGCTCCTTTTAACCTGGGAAACTTGGCTTCTTGTAGCAAAGTGCTAAGGTTTACCTGGTGTGAAGGTAGATTTCCAAGTTAAAGGTAATACAGGTTTGGTTCCTATTAAGAGGCTCATTTTTTTTTTTTTTTTATAAGACTTTTGTTTGCCCAGGCCAGTAGATGTTAAATTCACTTTTTTAAACAAATAAAAGAAAACAAGGTTTGGTTTGGTTTGTTTTACGGCATATCAACCTCAGTGTGTTATTTAATGCCGACAAGATTTTTATTGCTGGTAATATTTATTCCAAAATGTATTGCTGGTAATATTTTTTTATTCAAATATGTATTGCTGGTAATGATTTTTCATCAAAAAATTTATTGCTAGCATTAAAACCTATTTTTACACCTTCATAATGTTTTGACCCCAGTTTGGGGGTTAACTATTTGCCTATAGCTAAAATCCTAACAGGTGCTACCACTCCGGTTCAGGGTGGACCTGGGAGTACCAGCAATTAAGAGGTGGTTCCACATTCCTTGAAACCTCCTGATCAGTGTAGAAGTCAAATGACTTGACTGCTAACATGGCTGACTTTTTGTATCTCTGTGTAAAGGTAAGCCAGCTAATCTACCTCATTTATAGGAGAGCACCTAATGCAGCAAGTGGGTTGGTCCACTTTGCTGGAATGGACCTGCCAAACACATTTGCCTGAGTGGACTCTATTCCCTCATATATCTCTCCATTAAATGACTCAGGGCTGCATTTTCAGCTTGAAGTAACTACACCAGTCTATTTGTGTGTCAGACCACTTGCAAGTCAACCAATATTCTACATGGTGCTGTGAACAGGATATGATGATTGGCAAGAGCTCCTTATCAAAATTGGCATTCCAGCTGACTCTGCCAGGACTTATACTGAAACTTTTGTGAAAGAAAGCATCGCCAAAGATAGTCTCTCTATGATAGACCGGGAAATCCTCAAAGTGCTAGGTGTCACAACCATGGAACATTCCCTAGCCATCCTAAAAGTAGTTTATTGTCTTACCCAGGACACAGGTGTAGTTTATTGTCTTACCCAGGACACAGGTGTAGTTTATTGTCTTACCCAGGACACAGGTGTAGTTTATTGTCTTACCCAGGACACAGGTGTAGTTTATTGTCTTACCCAGGACACAGGTGTAGTTTATTGTCTTACCCAGGACAGAAAGAAAACAAGGAAATCTGCTCAAACATGTGTATGATCTAAATATAAGTTTTATAAAAAGAAAGAAAAATTAATTGAGATTGATGTGAAAAAAGTTCTTATATGCATATTGAAATATATTAGAAATACCTGTAAAAATGTCATGTTTTTTTCTTTTTGAACTTTCTGATGAATCTTAATTCCCAAGTTAATGACTGAATAAGCTTCACAATGTGTTCTTTTTTTTTTAAAGTATTGCTGATAATAACTTTTTCTTCAAAAATTATTGCTGGTAATAATTTTTTTATTACAAAGTATTTCTGGTATTAACTATTTGCCCATAGCTGGGACCCTAACAGGTGCTACCACCCCGGGTCAGGGTGGACCTTGGAATATCAGCAATTAAGAGGTGGTTTCACACTCCACAAAACCTTCTGATCAGAGGCCTTGCTGTTGGATGTAGTTTATCATCATACCCAGGACATGAATGTAGTTTATCGTCATACCCAGGATGTAAGAGAAGAGGTAAGGAACAAATCAAGTAAAGAAGAATGTTGAACAGATTTATTCGGAAAACGGGTAAGGAAATCCTCTGTTTGACTGAGAGACTGTGCAAGGGAAAAATTAAAAGTCTGAATACCGACAACATCAGTAGCATTAGAACGATTAAGCCACTTGGCATAATGTACATTAAAATCACCAAACACAAAAATATTTGCTGATGGATGTAGAGAAAGAGCCATTTTTATATTCACAAATTTTATTTAATGTATTTGTTATATAAGAAGAATATGATTAACTATCAACACCAAGGTTTGAGTGTGACACTCTGGACTTATGAATATATGTTTCCTGCCAGGTGTATAAATACCGGTGTTAGGCTACTGACTGCAGTGACTATTTAGTGGAACTATCCAGTTGAATTAGTGTGAATTATTTTATGCTGACAACAAGAGTTTTGATTTAGGATTTACCGGATGTTAAGACGAGCCACGCTACTAACAAGATATTCACTGAAATGGTTAAATATCTTTGGTTGAGTTTTACTTCTTTTTAAGAATTTATTTGTGATTGTAATTAAATATTGTTTTATCTTAACATTGAAATCTTGAATTATACTTAATTATTAACAGCCACTGCACGTCACAAAAATATTACAGTCCTGAGAAGAAAGAGAGCGATAAAGGAAAAAGAGAGCAATAAAGTCGAAAACACTTGAAAGAATCATCTTGGGACTCAAGAGACAATTCCTTTGCAATTGGGAGATTTTTCCTGAATCTAAACACCGAGGACATGCATATGTATGCTAGAATCTTTTCGGCAAATAGGAACATGGAACAGAGAATTCATTGGCAGCAATAGAAGAATTTAAATTAGTTTCACGATGTGCCTCATACTAACTTTGAATGAGTTGCCCTGGACAGAAATAACTGAAGATATTTGTACCAGAGTGGTATCAGAAATTTTGAAATCAGTCATATTGACTGGCTAAAAAGAGTCAACAAATATTCCTGTTGCTATGTCCTGAGATCCTCACTGTTGCACAATATATGGAATTGTATGCAGGTCACCAACAGGGCTGAAGGGTCCCACACGACACAAACATAAAAACTGATTGAGGTCGTAGGATCCTCATATGTTGAAATTAATGGGAGAGTTCATCATATATATATATATATATATATATATATATATATATATATATATATATATACACACACACATATATATTAAAATAAAAAGAAAGAACAGGCAGATTAATAATCCAGTTCTTTTTTTTTTTTTTTAAAAGTGCTTATATATATATATATATATATATATATATATATATATATAACACATTGAATGCTGGAGTTAATAAAATAGTGCTTAATGTAAAATAATAGAGCTATAAATTATATATTGATAATAAATATACATTATTTTCCTCACCGGTAACACAACAGTTTCATGCATAATGCAATGGCCAGGTGCTGAGTTAAAAAGCTCTCTCTCTCTCTATATATATATATATATATATATATATATATATATATATATATATATATATGTATGTATGTATGTATGTAGAGTCAATAGGCTTGTTAATGAAATTTGAGGAATAAAAATACAATAAAATGAAAACAATATTGGTAATAAGGTTGATGATATTTATTATGTAATAGTAGGCCTTTTGACTAAATTATGAAGTCAAAATGAACCTTTTTCAACAAGATGAGAAATAAACAAAGAAGTGGGACTTGCTCTTTCAGGGAATGTTGCTGTTGTTGCTTAGAGGGTTCCTTGGTCAGGTCCATTTTATTGAAATGCTTCTTTTGCAAAAAATTCCATAATTACTGTAGTGTACTAATGTTAATAGAATGAAACGATTAACATCAGTGCAACAAAATAAAGAAGCTTTTATTTTCTTTTTACAACACAAGAACTTGTAGAAAAATCTGGAAACAAAAATTGAATTGTTTGTGCCCCCTTTTTTTAAGTCTCTGTGAGTTGTAGTGAAGTATCAGCGGGTGTGTGGAAAAAAGGAAGATTTAAAGAAAGAAAGAAGAAAAGAAAGAAAAAAGGAAAGAAATAAATAAATAAAGAAAGAAAGAAGGGAAGATAGATGTGTTTAATGTCCATCTCAGTGAATTTGAAAAGTTGTCTCCAAATTGAGAGTCGCAATTTGATACTGTTCCTTCAGCAATCAAAGGAGCGGGCTGCTGTGAGACAGTTGTATTCATCTTGCCAACCAAGTGAACTGTTCTAATGTAGTTTAAAAATATTCTTATTTTTATATTGTGCTGATTGGCTCATGCACACGTGTGTTAGCTCCACAAATTTCTCACAAAGTGACCGCATATTTTTTGTACACCCAATTGGTCAAAAAATGTGGTTGAATGTTTTATTCTTTATTT